GAATCTGAAAATACTTTAAATGATTAAGTTAAATAAAGAAAAAATATCGTGAACACATTATATTTCAGAATTCCACAACTACTGTTGCTGTCATCTTGTGTCACTGGAAAAATTTAGAAAGACATATTAAATGGGTAGTCAATTTATAATGAGTCAATTTAAAATGAGCCATTCATATTCTCCATTGAGCCAAAAAGAGCCATTCACCATTTTGGCTCATTATAAATTGACTACCCATTTAATATGTCTTTCTAAATTTTTCCAGTGACACAAGATGACAACAACAGTAGTTGTGGAATTGTAAAATATAATGTGTTCACGATATTTTTTCTTTATTTAACTTAATCATTTAAAGTATTTTCAGATTCATGTTGCTGCTACTGTTACTTATGGACTAAGTTGATGGCGGGAAAAAGGGGTGAAGTGGATGAGTACAATTTTACCCTTGTTTATGGAAAGAAAAAGGTATTTTTGTATTTAATTAACGGAAAAACTGACGGAATATGGACGGAAGGACGTCCAGCGCAAAGAAAGGTTGAAATGAGGGCAAAAATGTCAAAAAATGAAAGGTAGGGACGTTTTCCACAATAGACTTGAAAGGTAGGGACGTTTTATGCCAATTACCCTTTAATTAACGGAAAAACTGACGGAATATGGACGGAAGGACGTCCAGCGTAAAGAAAGGTTGAAATGAGGGCAAAAATGCCAAAAAATGAAAAGTAGTGACGTTTTCCACAATAGACTTGATAGGTAGGGACGTTTTGTGCCAATTACCCTTTTTGTTTTCACGTTATTTTTTTAAAGTATTATATATATATTTTTTATTTTTATTTTTATTTTTTGTCCGAATTTATTTTAATGTAATTTCTCATGGAAGCCACTTCTCAAAATTCGTGACAAATCAATAAAAAAATCAAATGTCAAGGATACCATTTCAAAATGTAACTTTTCATTAAGGGCATAATAGACAAATTGACACTAAATTCAAATGAGTGGACACTTTTTAACTCATACCCTTAAAATTAGACGTTCTTGAAAGTTTAGTAAACTCATAACAACTCAAAATATGTAGTCTTATTCTAAACAAACAAGGCGTGATGACAGGTCCTGAGATGACGGTGCCTCAGATCTGAACTAGTGCAATTCAAATATATAAGCTTTGTTTCGTTTAAATACGGAACAATTTTTCAAAATTGATGAAATATGTAATTAAAAAGTTGTAAATTCCAAAAATTGAGTTATTAAAATTAGTTGTTAACTTTGATTTAAATTTTATTCCACTCTTCAACCTGAACCAAAAAAGAACATGGTAAACTGTCAAAATTTTACCGAATAGACCAAGACAACATTAAAATTATGGACATGACCTCAAAATTTGATGTATATCACGTAGAAAGATAGAATAAATCAAAACAAATATAGTTGCTAAAATTTTAATTGCTTGCAATCTTTTAGCGAGTCCAACATAGTTAAAAAATAA